CTCCAATCCTGTGCTTGCCGGTGCACCGTTAGGCCCTGCGCCCGCATTATTCTTCTTTTTCTTTTTCTTCTTTTTACCACCATGCCCTCCTCCAGCAGCACCGCCGCCACCGTTGGGGCTGCCTTTCTGCTCCACGGCGGCCGGAGATTTCTCATTTGCCGGCGGTTTGTTCTCCGGCGCAGCAGGTTCGACGACTCCGGCGAACCTGACAGTTTGGCCAACACCACCATCAACTTTCACTTGAAGAATATTGTTGCTCTCGGCCGCCGCCGGAATATTCTCCTCGTCTTCCTCCTCCTCGGTGTTGTCGTCGCCGCTGCTCTTGGTGGGATCGTTTTCTTTATCGCCGGTGTTCTGTTTTCCGGGCTTCTTGTCCTTTCCGGCGGCGGGGGGCTTCTCCGGCGGCCATAAGTCTGCATGCTTGCCGGTTTTGACGAGCTTCTTGATCAGGGTTTGTGCATCAACGTTGCCGGTGACAGTCACTTTCTGCTGCTGGGATTCAATATTTATCGTGTAAACACCTACACAATTAAAAACAAACGGAATTCATTAATAAAAAAAAAAAGCTAAATATATATATACATATATATTATATACACACCTTCAATAGTTTGTAGTACTTTCTTGACTTTCCTTTTGCAGCCTTGGCAGTGTATGGAAACTTTGAGAACCCATGTCTGAAAAATCAAATATATGAAACCATGTCATATGTTAATTTCAAGCGCACACACACACATATATGTATATATGTATCTAACGATTTGAATGTACCTGGTATTGAAGGGGGGTTTGAGAAGGTTCTTCTGCTTGTGTTGAAGCCATGAGAGAGAAAGAGAGAGAGTAGAGAGAGAGAGTGTTTAGCTTTTCTTTTACCAATGCTCACAAAGATGAAGATGAAGATGAAGTAAAGCTCCCACTAATTGGTTGTCAGTTGTACTCTTAATTTCTGAAAATTACATTAATGCCCCTCCCCTCATACATCCTAATCCTTTTTTTTTTTATTTATTTATTTATACACGAATTGAGCCGCACATCGTATATAACGGGGCTGCCTGCCGTCTTCACACATCTTTGATAATT